GCTTTGGTGCACAGATCGGGACGCTTCTCTCCGGCACGTGGTTTTCTCGCTCCGGCGGATGCACACACGGGGCGCCCCTGCAGGCGAGGCCCCGCCCCTCCGGACACAACGCCGCGCCTTCCTCAGAGATTCCCCGCCCCCGGGACGCCCCGCCCACCCACCGGATGCTGGGCATGTACCATCGGGTGCCTGGCGGGGGTGATGAGTCGGAGCGACCGGCTCGGCGCCTGCCTGTCCCTCTCAGCTTGAACTCCTTCCTTCAAGTGTGAGCCCTCGAGGCTTCCAGAGGGGGCTCCAGGAGAGCTGTCTCGGTTCCCCACGCCAGCCGTCTCCGTCCTCCGCCTCCTCCGGGCTTGGCAGGTGGCACAGTCCGGAGGCGGAGCCTTGGGGAAGGGGTGGTTGTGACGGAGGACGGAACCAAGCGGTGAGGCGCGCGGAGCCTGGGGGGTCGCGGTAGCGGTAGCCGGGCGTGGGGAGGCCAAGGCCCGGCCGAGGGGGCGGGAGGGCCAGGGAGCAGCCCAACCCGGGGTGTACGCGACCTACGCTCGCTTCCCAGCCCGACTGTGGCCGCCTGGTCTGGCGCCCTTTCTGGACCCTCGGGCCTGGCTCCCGCGGCCAAAACCGACTCCAAAGTGTTGGGAGGGTTCCTCTTCCCGGGGACGCAGCCTCCCCGGACATTGGCAGATGATGCCCCGGTCAGACAGAGCCACTGACCACCCCGCCCACCCCCGAGGCCGGACGCACGGATTCACACCCCGTCCTGGGAGGGACAGGCGCCCCTTCTCCTCCGCACCCCGCCGGGCCCCCCGCACCCCGCCGAACCCCCCTCCCCCCGCCGGCTGCTGGACGTCAGATGCAGCCAACACTAACCCTGGGAGGGACAGACACAAGGACAGGCTCCCCTTCCCCTCTGCACCCTCCTGCTGACTGCAGAACGCCAAATGCAGCCAACACTGACCCTGAGAGGGACAGACACGGACAGTCGCCCCTTCCCCTCCGCACCCCCCTGCTGGCTTTACGACCTCAAATGCAGCCACAACTTGACTTTGGGAGGGACAGACACTTTCCAGCCCAGATTGGCCCTGGGGCATGGATAGATATCCCCCTGCACACATGGCTGACCCCGGAACTCGAAGATGCCCCTGACTCTGGCCCACCTGCAGCCTGGGCCAGCACCACGCTGCTGCCCCTACTGCACCGAAGCCCAAGGATGACAGACTTTCAGCTCTGGAGGCCTTGTGATTTCAGCCAGACTCTCATCTGCCCGTTTCAGCCCCAGCACCAGAGCTCGGGGCCCCACCTAGACCAAAGCTTTGATCCATCCCTGCAGAACAGACCTCCGGTCTGGGGATCATGGTTCTCCTGGTCTAAGATGAAAGTTCTGGGGCCTCTTCCCAGGCCTGAGCAGGCATGGTGGGCTGCTGTGACTAGAACGAGCTGGGTCTGCAGTGGGCATTGAGGTTTGGGTCTCACATTGCCTTTGCAGGGACTGCGGCCTCACCATGGACCCCGAATGCTCCCGGCTGCTCCCTGCTCTCTGTGATGTTCTGGTAGATCCCAGGCAGCCGGTGGCAGATGACACCTGTTTGGAGAAGCTGCTGGACTGGTTTAAAACTGTCACTGAAGGAGGTAAGGAGGTGGTGCTGCTGTTTACTGTCTATCCAGAGACCAGACGCAGAGCCTGGGACAGGGAGCAGGGACCGGGTGGGGACTCCCCTGTCCTGGAAGAAGGGCAGAAACTGCAAATCAGATGTCTTTCCTTCACTTCCTAGAGATTATCTGTGGCAGACTGAGGGCAAGTCAAGATGAAGCCCGAGAGAATTATCTGGAGAGTTAGAGCTTGAAAGTCAGCCAGTTCAGCCACGATCAGGGCATCCCAAGGTTCAGTTCTGTGGAAGGCGTGAACAAACTTATTTTATTGTTGTTCTCATTGTATTTAGTGTGTTTAAAACACCAGGTTTGTTTTCTTTCTGATTATGAAAGTAGGGGCTGGATGCAGTGGCTCACACCTGTAATCCCAGCACTTTGGGAGGCTGAGGTGAGCGGATTGCTTAAGTCCAGGAGTTCGAGACCAGCCTGGTCCAACATAGCAAGACCTCATCTCAAAAAAAAATAACAAAAATTAGCTGGGCCTGGTGGCGCACCTGTAGTCCCAGCTACTCTGGAGGCTGAGATGGGAGGATCCTTTGAACCCGGGAGGTAGAGGTTGCAGTGAGCTATGATTGTGCCACTGCACTCTGACCTGGGTGATAGAGACCCTGTCTTAAAAAAAAAAAAAAAAGTAATTCATGTTCTTTAAAACATGAACAAAAGAGTAAAGAGAAAAATTAAACCATTAACTTTTTAATTTCCTCCCAGCCTTTTTCATAACACATCATAAAGCTGTATTTTTCTGGGAAAAAAATGAGGTCATACCGTAAATATAATTTTGGTGTCTTGCTTTCTCTCTTGCCATCATAGTGAGTGTTTTCTCCATGTAATACGTTAATGTTATTGACTACATGTTATTTGCTGTAGGAGTGGACCACAATTCATCGAATCACTCCACTGTTATTATTAGATGTTTATATTTCTCATTTTTCATCATTTTAAGTAGTGTCATAGGTCCGGCATGGTGGCTCACGCCCGTAATCCCATCACTTTAGGAGGCCAAGGCAGGTAGGTCATTTGAAGTCAGGAGTTCAAGACCAGCCTGGCCAACATGGTGAGACCTTGTCTCCACTAAAAATACAAAAATTAGCCAGGCATGGTGGCATGCGCTGTAATCCCAGCTACCCGGGAGGCTGAGGGGAGAATGGCTTGAACCCAGGAGGCGGAGGTTGCAGTGAGCTGAGATAGCACCACTGCACTCCAGCCTGAGCGACTGAGAATGGACTCCGTCTCAAAAAAAATAGTGTCATCATGGCTTTCCTTTTACATAAATATTCTTGCGTGGAAATGTTTATTCTCATGGTCGATCATTGTGTTGGGATAGACTGCATGTTTTTAATTTCTGCTATTCTTTACTTCCTTTTTTTGGTTTACCCTGTTCTTTTACTCGTTTTATTTTTAAATTATGTTGTTGTTTTTTTTTTTTTTTTAGAATGGGGTCTCACTGTATTGTCCAAGCTGTTTTCGATCTCCTGGGCTCAGGCAGTCACCTGCCTCTGCTTCCCAAAGTGCCGTTTACCCTCTTTTGAGCTAAATATCTGGGTCTTCCTTGTTTTCTAATACATACATTTAAGGCCAGGTGCGGTGGTTCATGCCTATAATCCCAGCACTTTGGTAGGCTGAGGCAGGTAGATCACTTGAGGTCAGGAGTTGAAAAACCAGCCTGGCTAACATGGTGAAACCCCGTCTCTACTAAAAATACAAGAATTAGCCTGACATGGTGGTCCATGCCTGTAATCCCAGCTACTCGGGAGGCTGAAGCAGGAGAATCACTTGAACCTGGGAGGTAGAGGTTGCAGTGAGCTGAGATAACGCCACTGCACTCCAGCCTGGGCAATGGAGTGAGACTCTGTCTCAAAAAAAAAAAAAAATACATATATATATGTGTGTGTGTATATGTATGTGTGTATATATGTGTATGTATATATGTGTATATATGTATTTAAGAGTGCGTTTCTCTAGAAGTATGACTTTAGCTACATCTTACCAGTTTTATTATGCAGTACTTTGGTTGTAATTTAGTTCTAAGTATTTCATGCTTTTCATTCTGGTTTTTTTTCCACCCACAAGTTATTTAAAAGAATATCATTTAGTTTCAAAATGTGGATTTCTCCAGTCTTTTTGTTATTGATTTTTAATTTATTTTATGGAGGTTAGAAAATACATGTTTTGAGTCTTTATAGCTATTGAGACTTTTATTGAGACACAGGACCCAGGCGAGTTTTCTCCGTGTTCTAGAGATTTCACTGTATGAGTTTGATGTTTTGGTATTTGAAGGTCTTCAACTGTGGCCTAGTTTGTAGTCAGTTTTTCTTTACTTTCTTTTTCTTTCTTTTTTTTTTTTTTTTGAGCCAGGGTTTTTCCGTCACCCAGGCTGGAGTGCAATGGTGTGATCACAGCCCACTGCGGCCTCGACCTCCTGGGCTCAAGCAGTCTGCCTGCCTCATTCTCTTGAGTTGCTGGGATCACAGGTGTGTACCAGGCCCAGCAATTTTTTTTTTTTTCCTTCATAGAGATGAGGTCTCACCATCTTGCCCAGGCAGCTTGGAACTCCTGGGTTCAAGCAGTCTTCTCGCCTGGGCTTGCCAAAGTGCTGGGATTACAGGAGCGGGCCACCATGCCTGGCCTGTATTCAAATTTTAAGAAGTATTTTTCAGTAGTTTTATTGAGATATAATTTGCATACCCTGCAATTCACCCACTTAACGTGTACCAGGTCCTTCTGTAGTTTGTAAGCATGATATATTTTTTTTTTTTTTTCAAGACCAAGTCTTGCTCTGTTGCCCAGACTGGGGTACAGTGGCACGATCTCGGCTCACTGCAACCTCGGCTTCCTGGGTTCAAACGATCCTCCTGCCTCAGCCTCCCGAGTACCTGGGATTACAGGCACCTGCCACCATGCCCGGCCAATTTTTGTATTTTTAGTAGGGATGGGATTTCACCATGTTGGCCGGGCTGGTCTCCAACTCCTGACCTCAGGTGATGCCTCCGCCTTGGCCTCCCAAAGTGCTGGGATTACAGTGGAGGGCCACCACACCCAGCCTAAGCATGATAATTGAGTGTTCAGGTGCATGTGTGAGATGTGGCACCGTGGAACTGTGGTATGATGTCAGTACGTGACCCGTCTGACATGAGAAAAGGACAAAATAAATAAATAAATGGTATCAATTCAACAGTTCTTAGTAAATTTATAGGGCTCTGGAATCATCAGCACAATCGAATTTTGTTCTCCTAAAGAAACCGAGTCTGGATTCACAGTGAGTCCCTGTTTCCTCCTCCCTCCCAGCCTCTGTCATTTCTCCTGCGCTGTACTTGATGGAAAGAGTAGTTTCCACACTTGTTCATTAGTTCAGACCTGCTATGTTCTTGCTAATTTGTTTGCTTGTTTCTGAGAGGTGTGTAAAAAGCTTACACCAAGGTCATGGATTCATGACTTTTCTTTGAATTGCATTCTTTTTTTTTTTGCTTTACGTATTTTTTTCTTTTTCTTTTTCTTTTTTTTTTTTTTTTCTTTGAGACGGAGTCTTGCTCTATTGCCCAGGCTGGAGTACCGTGGCATGATCTCGGCTTACTGCAGCCTCGACTTCTTGGGCTCAGATGATTCTGCCACCTCAGCCTCCCTAATAGCTGGGACCACAGGAGCCCACCACCATGCCCGGCTAAGTTTTTGTATTTTTTGTAGTGATGGAGTTTCACCTGTCTCTTATACACATCTAGATGTGTATAAGAGACAGCTCCTGGGCTCAAGCAGTCTGCCCGCCTTGGCCTCTCGCTGGGATTACAGGTGTGAGCCACTGTGCCTGGCTTTTTTTTTTTTTTTTTTTTTGGAGACAGGGTCTCACTTTGTCACCCAGGCTAGTATGCAGTGGCGTGATCACGGCTCACTGTAGCCTCAACTTCTGGGCTCAAGTGATCCTCCCATCCCAGCCTCCTGGATGGCTGGGACTACAAGGACACACCAGCACACCCAGCGAATTTTTTGTATTTTTTTGCGGAGACGGTTTCACCACGTTGCCCAGGCTGCTTTACACGTTTTGACGTTAGGTTAGATATACATAGATGTAGGAATGTTGTATCTTTCTGGAATTTCTCTGTGTGATCAGTGAACTTTCTTCTGAGTGAATACTGCTTTTTGCTTTATAGCCCATTTTGTTTGCTATTACTGTTGCTACACCAGCTTCTTTAAAGTTAGAATTTGCCTACTGTGTCTTTTTCTCTCCTGCTCCCAGCCTTTCCCTTTGTTGCATTTTATTGCTTTTAGAAACACCACATTGCTCGTTTTCAGTGTTTAATTTAAGCTCAGCAACTCTTTCTTTTAACAGATAAGTTTGATCTCTTTAATTTGTCGAGGCGACCGTTAGATTCGAATTCTTTTGTATTTTTTAATTTCCTGTGCCTTATCTTTGTGCCTTTATCCTCCTCCTTTTCTGCCCTCCATCAGATTGATAAAGCTTTTTTTTTTTTTTTTTTAATCTTTCCTCTTCTGGTTTTGAAGTGATACATTCTATTTATGTTCTTTTTTTTAGACAAGTTCTTGCGCTGTTGTCCAGGCTAGAGGCCAGTGGTGTAATCACGGCTCACTGCAGCCTTGACCTCCTGGGCTCAGGCGATCTTCCCGTCTCAGCTTCCAGTGTAGATGGGACTACAGATGCGTGCCACCACGCCCAGCGAATTTTTTTTTTTTGAGACGGAGTCTCGCTCTGTCGCCCAGGCTGGAGTGCAGTGGCCAGATCTCAGCTCACTGCAAGCTCCACCTCCCGGGTTTACGCCATTCTCCTGCCTCGGTCTCCCGAGTAGCTGGGACTACAGGCGCCGCCACCTTGCCTGGCTAGTTTTTTGTATTTTTTTAGTAGAGGTGGGGTTTCACCATGTTAACCAGGATGGTCTTGATCTCCTGACCTCGTGATCCGCCCATCTCGGCCTCCCAAAGTGCTGGGATTACAGGCTTGAGCCACCGTGCCTGGCCTCCCAGCGAATTTTTATAGAGAGATCTTCCTGTGTTGCCCAACCTGGTCTTGAACTCCTGGGCTCAGGTGATCTGCCCACCTCGGCCTCTCAAGATGCTGGGACCACAGGCTTATTTATGTTCTTTAGTGGTTACTCTTACATTTTTAACATGAGAACTGGATTTTTTTTAAAAGTCTGAAGTTAATTAGACTTTCCATTCTCTATCCAGGCAACTGAAGGATCTCAGAGCGCTTGACCTTCCGGTCATCACGAGCTTCTGTTATTGTTGTTTAGTATTTTAATTCTGTTTTGTTTCAAAACCTTCAACAATGAGTTTTTAGTTTTGAACTCAGTGAGGTTTTTTTTTTTCTTTTGAGGCAGAGTCTTGCCCTGTCACCAGGCTGCAGTGCAGTGGTGCAATCTCGGCTCACTGCAACCTCCACCTCCCAAGTTCAAGCAATTCTCCTGCCTCAGCCTCCTGAGTACCTGGGACTACAGGCGCACACCACCACACCCGGCTCATTTTTTATATTTTAGTAGAGGCAGGGTTTCACCATGTTTGTCAGGATGGTCTCAATCTCCTGACCTCGTGATCTGCCTGCCTCAGCCTCCCAAAGTGCTGGGATTACAGACATGAGCCACTGCGCTCCGCCTTTTTTTTTGTTTTTGTTTTTTGTTTTTTAGAGACAGGGTCTCCCTCTGTCGCCCAGGCTGTAGTACAGTGGTGCCGTCATAGCTCACTGCAGCCTTGAACTCCTGGGCTTAAGTGATCCTCCTGTCTCAGCCTCCTGAGTAACTGGGACTACCGATGTGTGCCACCACTCCAGGCGAATTTTTATTTTATTTTATTTTATTTTTTTGTAGAGACAGGGTCTTGCTATGTTGCCCAGGCTGGTCTTGAACTCCTGGGCTCAAGTGATCCTCTTGCCTTGGCCTCCCAAAGTGCCAGGACTACAGGTATGAGCACCTCGCCCAGCCTGCGGTGCTGATTCAGGTGGACTCAGTGCTTTTTGAGTCCTAGCCTGGTTCTCCTCCTCTGCATGCTCCTCACTCTCCTTCTTACTGAACCATATTCTTTCTACAAGAGCCTCTCACTGGAAAACTCTCCCAGCGTTTGCCTCAAAATATCTTTTTCGCCACTGGTGCTTTTGAGCAATAGCGTAGCTAGGTATAGAAATACAGGATGCCACGTCTAGAGAGGAATGCCTGTTCCATTGTACCTCCTTGCACAGAGCGCTAAGGAAAAGTACCAATTTGAAAGGTGAAAATGCTCTTCTACTTTTTGTTTTATTTTTTATTTTTTTGGAATGGAATCTCGCTCCGTCACCCAGGCTGGGGTGTGCGGTGTGCAGTGACGCAATCTCGGCTCACTGCAACCTCTGCCTCCTGGATTCAAGCGATTCTCCTGCCTCAGCCTCCTGAGTACCTGGGACTACAGGCATGAGCCACCACACCCGGCTAATTTTTTGTATTTTTAGTAGAGACAGGGCTTCGCCATATTAGCCAGGCTGGTCTCAAACTCCTGAGCTCAAGTGACCACAAGCCTCGGCCTCATAAAAGTGCTGGGATTACAGGCGTGAGCCGCTGCGCCCAGCCTGGTCTTTCACTTTTATTTGTATTTCTTTTTCACTGTCAGTGAGGCAGAACATTTTTTCGGCATCTTTGGCCATTCACCTGTTGTAAAAGGTGAAAATGTTCCGCCTTTCAGCTGTTGTTAAACTTTCTAGTTTTTCTGCCCTTACTGAATTAAAATTATGAGTCATTTGCCGTATTTGTTGCAAATATTTTTTTCCCAGTTGGATCCCTAAATCTAACACCCTGCAAGAAAAGGGTCTGGGAATTGCTAGGAGAAGAGCGGTCATCCAGGGGGGACACCTGGTGCTGTGCCCCTGGTAACCCCTAGGCTGGGCTGTCCCCACAGAGTCCAGTCTCGTGCTGCTGCAGGGGCACCCCTGCCTGGTGGAGCTGCTGTCCCATGTGCTGAAAGTCCAGGACCTGAGTCCCGGGGTCCTCTCCTTCTCTCTGCGCCTGGCAGGAACCTTCGCAGCCCAGGAAAACTGCTTCCAGTATCTTCAGGTGAGCCTGGGGCCTCCCACCCGAGTGTCCCGTGGAGAGGTGGGCAACCTTCTCCTCCTGCAGCCAGGTGGGGCGTTTGTAGCCATCACCATCCCAAGTTCCAGCGGCCTGCCCCAACCCTGTGTCCTCGCCAGAACTGCATGCTTTTACCCCTGACTGTAGTCCCTTTGAAAAATTCTCCCAGAGTGTTGCTGGGGCTAAGGAGTTGAGGTTTTTTGGAATAAGATGACTGGGATTGGCTCCCAGCTCTGATCAGCTGTCTGACCTTCCCAAGGCCGCAAGCCTCCGTCCCTCCCTAGGACGGAAATGGGGGTCATAGCCGCGCCGTGGCCTCCGTCCCTCCCTAGGACGGAAATGGGGGTCGTAGCCGCGCCGTGGCCTCCGTCCCTCCGTAGGACGGAGATGGAAGTCGTAGCCGCGCCATGGGGTTGTCATGAGGACCAAATGAGACCGCACATCCTGCACCTCTAGCAACCCAGCCTACAGATGAATGAATGACTAATGAGAATGTCTTTTTTAAAAAAAAATTAATTAATTTTATTTATTTTTTATTTTATTTTATTACTATTTTTTGAGACCCCAGGCTGGAGTGCAGTGGCTCAAACTCAGCTAACTGCAGTCTCCACCTCCCAGGTTCAAGCGATTCTCCTGCCTCAGCCTCCCGAGTATCCGGGACTACAGGCACCTGCCACCATGCCCAGCTAAGTTTTGTATTTTTAGTAGAGACGGGGTTTCACCATTTTGGCCAGGCTGGTCACAAACTCCTGACCTCAAGTGATCCGTCTGCCTCGGCCTCCCAAAATGCTGGGATTGCAGGCGTGAGCCACCACACCCGGCCTTTTTTTGTTTTGTTTTTTAGAGACAGAATCCTGCTCTGTTGGCCAGGCTGGAGTGCAGTGGCAGCTCACTGCAGCCTTGACCTCCTGGGCTCAAGTGACCCTCCCCATTCAGCCTCCTGAGTAGCTGGGTCCACAGGTGCATGCACCTGACTAACTTTTTTTATCTTTGGTAGAGATGGGGTCTCACTGTGTTGCCCAGGCTGGTCTCAAACTCCTGGCCTCAAGCAATCCTCCTGCCTCGGTCATGAGCCACTGCTCCCAGCCAAGAATTTCTACGTAGCAACAAGGCATGAGAGCTCGAGAGCCCTCCAGAGCTGTGTCTTCCAGCTCCAAACAGGCAGCGCTGAGTCTGTTAGGTGCTGCCTGATGATGCCCGTCTAGCACGACGGCTTCTCTTGGTGCCCCACAGGCCCTCGCCAGGTTGCTCGAAGGCACATCCAGTACCGTTAGCTACTGCCATTCATGGTGCCCCCCAATTAAGCACCTGCAGACTCCCTAGCAGCCCACCCAGGCACCATCCTGCTGCAGGACAGACTTTCCAAGACGTCCTAGGGCGCTGCTGTACAGTGAATCCGGGGGCCTTTGTCTGTCAGCAGCTGGCAGGAAAGGGCCCTCCAGACCAGGCGTGGTGGCTCATGCCTGTACTCCCAGCACTTTGGGAGGCTGAGGCAGGTGGATCACCTGAGGTCAGGAGTTCGAGACTAGCCTGACCAACATGGTAAAGACCTGTCTTTACTAAAAATGCAAAAATTAGCTGGGCGTGGTGGCGGGCACCTGTAATCCCAGCTACTCGGGAGGCTGAGACAGGGGAATAGCTTGAGCCCGGGAGGCAGAGGTTGCAGTGAGCCGAGATTATGCCACTGCACTCCAGCCTGGGCAACAGAGTGAGACTGTCGATAAATACATACATACATACATACATACATACATACATACATGAAAGCGTCCTCCAAAAGTGCCTCCACCAGCCCTGGAAAACTGAAAACCCATCTGTGCTTTGCTCCACATCCCTGGAAACCTGCCAGGTCCCCTAACCTCTTTTTTGTTTGTTTTTTTGAGACGGAGTCTCACTCTGTTACCCAGGCTGGTGTGCAGTGGTGCGATCTTGGCTCACTGCAACCTCTGCCTCCCAGGTTCAAGCAATTCTCCTGCCTCAGCCTTCTGAGTAGCTGGGATTACAGGTGCGTGCCAACACACCCGGCAGATTTTTGTATTTCTAGTAGAGACGGGGTTTCACCATGTTGGTCAGGCTGGTCTTGAACTCCTGACCTCGTGATCTGCCCTCCTCAGCCTCCCAAAGTGCTGGGATTACAGGCGTGAGTCATCGCACCCGGCCCCCCCTCACCTCTTTTTTTTGCTTCCCAGCAGGGGGAGTTGCTACCAGGGCTCTTTGGGGAGGCAGGACCCCTCGGCCGAGCAGCCTGGGCCGTCCCCACCGTGCGCAGCGGCTGGATCCAGGGCCTGCGCTCCCTGGCACAGCACCCCAGCGCCCTGCGCTTCCTGGCCGACCACGGTGAGTGCGCCCACACCCCACCCCATTCCTCATCCTGCCTGTGTGACCTCAGGGGAGTCACTGCACCTTGCTGAATCTGAGCGTCTGGTCTGTGCGATGTCGCAGGGTTGTTGTGAAGAATGCACCGTGACAGTACTGCTGTCCAGTGTCCTCTGGTTTGTAAGTCAGGCCCTAGGAGCCGAGACGGCTTTCTCAGCCATTTACAGATCAGCTGTGAGGACTCAGTCTTTGAAACTATTTGAGAGCCAGGCGTGGTGGCGCATGGCTATAGTCCTGGCTACTCGGGAGGCTGAAGCAAGAGGATCTTTTGAGTCCAGGGGGTGGAGGCTGCAGTGAGCAGTGGTTGAGCCACTGCACTCCAGCTTAGGCTACAGAGCAAGACCCTGTCTCAAAACACAAGAAACAAGGCCGGGCACAGTGGCTCACACCTGTAATCTTAGCACTTTGGGAGGCCAAGGCAGGTGGATCACCTGAGGTCAGGAGTTCAAGACCAGCCTGGCCAACATGGTGAAACCCCATCTCTACTAAAAATACAAAAGTTAGCAGGGCATGATGGCAGGTGCCTGTAATCCCAGCTACTTGGGAGGCTGAGGTGGGAGAATGGCTTGAACCCGGGAGGTGGAGGTTGCAGTGAGCCAAGATTGCACCATTGTACTCCAGCCTGGGCGACAGAACGAGACTCCGTCTCAAAACAACAACAACAAGAAGAACTAAAAACAACAAGGAACGAATTGGGAAGCATCACAAGCTGTGTGTGTTTAATGCTCAGCTGGGGGGAAGGTGCTTGTCTCTAGGGAGCTTCAGTTCCTGTTCTCTTTTGCTTTTGAGTGGAGGGGCATTTGGGGGCGTCTTGGGGTGCCCTCTGCTGTTTGCATCTTCCCTGAGGCCCTGGAGTCCTGGATTAAGGTTGCGGTCTGCCTCCCCTGGCTCTATTCTGGCTCATCCCCTTTTTCCTGTCTTGCCCCATCCCCTACCCAGGTGCAGTCGACACCATCTTCTCCCTACAGGGAGACTCCAGCCTGTTTGTGGCCTCGGCGGCCAGTCAGCTCCTGGTGCACGTCCTGGCTTTGTCCATGCGAGGTGGAGCCGAGGGGCACCCCTGCCTGCGGGGGGATGACTGGCCCGCGTGTGCCCAGAAGATCACAGATCATGTGGAGGAGTCCTTGTGCTGTACGGCCACCCCCAAGGTCACTCAGGCCCTGAACGTCCTGACCACGACCTTCGGGCGCTGCCAGAGCCCCTGGACGGAAGCCCTGTGGGTGCGGCTGAGTTCCCGCGTGGCCTGTCTGCTGGAGAGAGACCCCATCCCCGCCGCACACTCGCTCGTGGACCTGCTTCTCTGTGTGGCTCGGTCAGGCCCCCAGGACGCAGCTGGGGGGCCTGGGTGGGCAATTGTTTTCCTCAGATGATGCCCGGGCATGTCCCACTGGCAGCCAGAGACTCCCCGAGGATGTGGCCTGCAGTGAAGCGGCACCGGGGTGACCCTGGAACCCTCGGGGGGAAAGGCCTGTCCTGGGCTGGGCACTTTCAGCGCTGGGGCCATGGCAGTCTCTCAGCCAGGCCTGGAATGAGGTTTTAGGGGATGGGGGATAATTTCTCTCTCTGGGGTCTCCCTGCAGTTCTCCTGTGTTCAGTTCTTCTGACGGCGGCCTGTGGGAGATGCTGGCGCAGGCTCTGAGCTGCCTGGGTCCCACCCACGTGGGACCCCTGGCTTTGGGGATCCTGAAGCTCGAGCACTGGTATGGGCTGGGGTGCGTTTCACGCCGAGGCGGGTGTTGGGAGCCAGGGCAGGCAGGGAGGTTGAGAGCGCAGCCCTCAAGGCAGGGGAGTTCCGGAAACCAGGGACAGTCAGGCAGCCGTGTGGGGTGTGATTGGGCCATGCGTGGGTTACACGTGGCAGTCGTGCAGGCTGGCGGCTTCTGCAGGATCTTTAGCAACAGAATAATTGTTTCAAGACAAAAGCTCTGCGAGATCCCCAGAGGTAAGAAGGATGGCCGGAGCTGCTCTGCCCAGAGCGGGATGGTCCTGCCCAGGCCCTGCGCTCCGCTGCCCTCCCACCTGTCCCCCACCGCAGCCTTGGTTGGAGGTGCTGGAGCTCCCCAGCACGTACACCATGCAGATGGGGGGCCTGGGGGCAGTGGAACGGCAGTGCCTGGGTCAGGACAGGTGGGAAGGCCGTGGACGGCCTGCCAGGGTTCTGGGTGGGCTCACATTAGGGGTGGACATGACCTCAGGACCTGCTGCCCAAAGGGCCCAAGGGTACCATGAAAGCCCGGCTCTGAGCTCCGGGATCGCCGAATGTTTAGGAGAGTAGACGGGGAGGACGGAGGAACAGACCCGGCCTTGCAGGAATGCACTGTGGGGACACTGCCCCCACCTGGGCCCAGATGTGAGGGCAGGTCCCTCCTACAAAGTGGATGCTGTGCACACCTGGGGACACCCAGGAGGCTGGGGGCACCCTGTCCCTGTCCCCCTGAGCGGGCACTGCCCCCACCTGGACCCAGACATGAGGGCAGGTCCCTCCTACAACGTGGACGCTGTGCACACCTGGGGACACCCCGTCCCTGTCCACCTGAGTGGGCACTGCCCCTCTCTCTGGGTGCATGGCCGGGCCCTCCAGGAGACCCCTCAGTGTCTGCTCCTAAGGACATTGGGAGTATCAGGCTCATCTCCTTGGTCAGGTCTGTCTGCCCACCACTCTCTGTCTCATGGCGTCCCCTGGCCAGTGGCCTGCAGAGAAACTGTTCTTGGCGGGGTGTCCCAACCCCCTCCCTGATTTGCCCCAGGCTTGCTGGGGATGTTAGCACAGCCAGCTTGCCTCATGGCCAGGGTCACGGCGCTCACTGTGTGTTTGTCTCCAGCCCACAGGCACTGAGGACCCAGGCCTTCCAGGTCCTCCTCCAGCCCCTGGCCTGTGTCCTGAAGGCCACAGTTCAGGCCCCCGGACCCCCAGGTACGCCGCTCAGAAAGGGCTGGGAGGGCGGAACCTGGGTCCCTGCAGCTGGGGGAGGGGAGATGGATGGGAGTACCAGACTCGCCACCCCCATCCCACTTTAGTCACACCCAGGCCTCCCACTAAGAGGAAAGGGGACCGGGGCCGTGGCCATCATCCCTGGTGAGCCGCTGCTCTGCACCCAGGTCCTGGCCTCTGCTGCGAGTGGTGGCCAGGGGGTGGCTGGCGACCGTGGGCAGGCAGAAGTGCTCTCTAAGGGAGCTCTTTCCTGGCTTGGCCCCCAGGCTTGCTGGACGGGACGGCAGACGATGCCACGACGGTGGACGCGCTCCTGGCCTCCAAGTCGTCCTGTGCGGGCCTCCTGTGCCGCACCCTGGCTCACCTGGAGGAGCTGCAGCCGCTGGTAGGTGTGGCCCCGCCCTCATGCAGCCCAGCAGCATCCACTCCGGCAGTGGGACCGCAACCTGGGCTGACGCCCCGCACCCCTTGCAGCCCCAGCGCCCCTGCATCCACGCTGGCCGTGGGATCACAACCCTGGCTGATGTCCCCCGCCCCACACGCCTCGAAGCCCCAGCGTCCCTGCATCCACGCCAGCAGTGGGAACGCAACCTTGGCTAACGCTTCCCTCTCTCGCCAGCCCCAGCGCCCGTCGCCGTGGCCCCAGGCGTCCCTGCTGGGGGCTGCAGTGACTGTCCTGCGGCTCTGTGATGGCTCAGCTGCCCCCGCCTCCAGCGTGGGGGGCCACCTCTGTGGGACTCTGGCGGGCTGTGTCCGGGTCCAGCGAGCAGCCCTCGACTTCCTGGGGACGCTGTCAGAGGGGACAGGTGAGTGTGTTCTGTACGGCTTTGGCGTTGGGCGAAACCCAAGCCCCCACTCTCCTTTCTGCTCGGAGGCGCCTGGGAATTGCTGTCCCTCTGTGTTTCTTCTCTGGGGCGGGGGCTGAGGGGTGCAGGGGCCGTGCAGGAGGTTTCAGCTGGCGAATGAGGCCTTGTCCTGCTCCTTCCCAGAGTTGATGGGGAGGGCCGTGGGGTGGAGGTGGGGGTGGTTTATCCGCTCACCTCTGTCTCAGGCCCCCAGGAGTTGGTGACACAGGCGCTTGCTGTCCTCCTGGAGTGCCTCGAGAGCCCCGGCTCCAGCCCCACGGTACGGATAGGGAACGAGGAGAGGAGGGAGGCAGAGGCAGTGGGACCCACCCCCCACTCCACCCTGGCCCCATGCGGGCCTCTAGGGACGGGGCCTTCACACAGGGCCACAGAGTCACTGCTCAGAGAGCTTCATGACACAGGTGGCTGCATGCGTTGGGCCCAGGGCCTCTTGTTGGTGAAGATACATCAGCATGCAGGGGTGTGTGGGGCCGTGGGGAGCAGGGGCGCCGGCCAGGCGGCCTGCAGGGAATTCTGGACAAGGGAAATGAAGTGGCACCAGGACGGCCCTGGGCGTGGGCTCCGGGTTCTCCTAAGCGCCGTTTGTGAACGTGCCCACTCCATAGCCCCTTGTGGAGCTGGGCCCTGGCGGGTACAGACCTTGTGCCGCCTGCCGCTGAGCAGACAGTGGACAGCTTTGGAGGAAGGGCCCAGGGCCTCCTGAGATCCTACGGAAAAGTGCCCTGCGTCACTGGTCATGTTTTGATGCAGAAATCCCGCTGCCTGGGTGGTGGGTCTTCTGGTGGGGGCCACCGCCGCCTCCTGCTCACAGTCTGGGGAGCCGCTTCCTCAGCAGATCCTGCCTTATTAAAATCAGCCTGAGAGGGGTGTGGAGCTCAGAGCTGTGATTACTGTGCTGTGGGAGGATCCGTGGAGCCCAGGACTTTGAGTCCAGCCTGGGCAACATAGCAAGATCCCATCTCTACAAAAAATACAAAAATTAGCCCCGGGGTGTAGCTCAGGGGTAGAGCATTTGACTGCAAAAATTAGCCGGGCATGGTGATGTGTGCCTCTAGCCCCAACCACTCATAAGGCTGAGGCAGGAGGATTGTTTGAGCCTGGGAGGTGGAGGCTGCAGTGAGACCCTGTCTCTAAAAAAGAAGGAAGCCCAGCGTTCCCTTCTCTCTCCACTTCCTGTCCCCATCTCTGTCCCTGCAGTGGGGGCAGCACAGAGGAAGGTGAGGGGACAGGCAGACAGCTTGTCCCTCCTCCTCTCGTGGCCCTACAGCCCGCCCTGTCTGCTCCAGGTTCTGAAGAAGGCCTTCCAGGCCACACTCCGGTGGCTTCTGAGCTCACCCAAGACCCCTGGCTGCTCTGATCTTGGCCCCCTCATCCCGCAGTTCCTCAGAGGTAACGCAGCCCCTCACAGGGGTGAACGGAGCTGGAGTCGCAGGGGTGGAGGCAGCAGGGACTGGGCGGCTCCGAGGGCAGCGTTAGCCTGGCCCCAAGCTCGCCCTGACCTGCCCCTTCCCGCCCTAGAGCTGTTCCCTGTGCTGCAGAAACGCCTGTGCCACCCCTGCTGGGAGGTGAGGGACTCCGCCCTCGAGTTCCTGACCCAGCTGAGCAGGCACTGGGGAGGTGAGTGCTGGCAGATGGAGGGGCTGCCTTCCCGCCTGCTGGGGGCTCACTGAGCCGGGGTGCACCAGCAGCCTCTTGCTGGCTCTAGAAACTTGGGCCATGTCAGCTGCCCACAAGGGGGTGGAGGCAGAGGCCAAGGCGGCAAGGCTCGGCCCTCGGTCACAGCTGCATGTGGCCACTTCGACCCCCAGGACAGGCCGACTTCAGATGCGCCCTCCTGGCTTCAGAGGTGCCTGAGCTGGCCCGGCAGCTCCTCCAGGACCCTGAGAGTTACGTCCGAGCGAGCGCAGTGACCGCCACGGGGCAACTTTCCAGCCGGGGCCTGCACGCCCCCACCAGCCCTGAGTATGCAGGGGCCCAGCAGGTAGGAAGTGCTGGGTTCCTCGGCTACCAGCCCCTGCCAGCCCTGAGCACACAGAGGCCCAGAAAGTAGAAGGTGGCGGGTTCCTCGGCCAGCAGCTCCCACCTGGCCATCGTGTGTGCTCGACTGCTTGCGGGTGGGTGAGCAGCCAGCATCCACCGTGGGAGCAGCTGCTGCTGTGGGCAGCACCTGTGGGAGTGACTGCCGAGGCCCTGGGGCTCTGCTGGGCGTGGGGCCTGTGCTCTTCGCCTTGTCTCCCCAGCACCCCTCCACTTAGACGTGGTTACCTCCATTTGACAGATGGGTAAACTGAGGATTGGAGGGCAGTGTGCTCACTGCATAGCACAGGAAGGTGCCAGAGTGGGGTGTGGCCCTAGACTGCCCATGCCCGGGGCCAGCCCCACGGATGCCCCCGGGGTCCTGTTGTGGGAGCCCCACTCCTGCCGTCCCACCGACCATCCCACCCGCTCCCTGTCCCCCAGAGCCTGTTCCCGGAGCTCCTGCACATCCTCTCCGTGGACTCGGAGGGCTTCCCACGGAGGGCGGTCATGCAAGTCTTCACCGAGTGGCTGCGGGACGGCCACGCCGACGCAGCCCAGGACACGGAGCAGTTCGTGGCCACTGTGCTGCAGGCGGCAAGCCGGGACCTGGACTGGGAGGTCCGCGCCCAGGGCCTGGAGCTGGCGCTGGTGTTCCTAGGCCAGACGTTGGGGCCGCCACGTACCCACTGCCCCTATGCCGTGGCCCTACCCGAGGTGGCCCCAGCCCGGCCACTCACCGAGGCACTGAGGGCTTTCTGCCACGTGGGGCTCTTTGACTTCGCCTTTTGTGCCTTGTTTGACTGCGACCGCCCCGTGGCGCAGAAGTCCTGTGACCTCCTCCTCTTCCTGAGGGACAAGATTGCTTCCTACAGCAGCCTGCGGGAGGCCGGGGGCGGCTCCAACACTGCCTCAGTGGAGGCCGCCCTGCCGAGGTGCCGGGCGGGTGAGCACGCCCAGCCCCCAGGGGACCAGGAGCCTGAGGCTGTGCTGGCCATGCTCAGGTCCCTAGACCTGGAGGGCCTGCGGAGCACACTGGCCGAGAGCAGCGACCACGTGGAGAAGAGCCCCCAGTCCCTCCTGCAGGACATGCTGGCCACGGGGGGCTTCCTGCAGGGGGACGAGGCTGACTGCTACTAAGTAGAACCAGATTCTGCCACTGGGGTTCAGGACTGAGGAAGGCAGTGCCACGTCCTTCCGTGGGACACTGCCATCCCCAGGGCTCCAGCCCAGCCCAGTGGATCCTCTGGGGAAGCCAGGACCAGGAGAGAAGCAAGGTCAAGAAATGCCACATTTTGATGTATTAAAGAAATGACTTATTTTCTACTCAAAATAAATGGCATTGAAGTCTTTAATCCATTTTGAGTTAATTTAGTAATAATGATCTGAGACAAGGGTCCAGTTTCATTCATTCGCGTGTGGATATCCAGTTTTCCCAGCACTGTTCCTCCCTCCCTTCCTCCTTCCTCCCTTCTTCTTCCCTTCCTCCCTTCCTCCCTCCCCTTCCCTTCCTTCTTTCCTTTTCTTTCTTTTTCTCTTTCTCTTTTTCTTTCTCTCTCTCTTTCTCTGTCTCTTTCTTTCTTTCTTTTGAGATGGAGTTTCGCTCTTGTTGCCTAAGCTGGAGTGCAGTGGCACGATCTTGGCTCACTGCAACCTCTGCCTCCTGGGTTCAAGCGATTCTCCTGCCTCAGCCTCCCAAATAGCTGGGATTGCAGCCACACGCCACCATGCCTGGCTAATTTTTTGTATTTTTAGTAGAAATGGGGTTTCACCATGTTAGCCAGGCTGGTCTCGAACTCCTGACCTCAGGTGATCCACCCACCTCAGCCTCCCAAAGTGCTGGGATTACAGGCGTGAGCCACTGTGCCCCCCGGCCAATTTATTTCCTTCCTTCCTTCCTTCCTTCCTTCCTTTTCCCTTCCCTCCCTTTCCCTTTCCCTTTCCCTTTCCCTTTCCCTTTCCCTTTCCCTTTCCCTTTCCCTTTCCCTTTCTTGTCTTGATCTGTCCCCTAGGCTGCAGTGCAGTGATGCAATCTCAGCTCACTAGCCTGTACATCCCAGGCTCAAGCGATCCTCCCACTTCAGCCTCCCAAGTAGCTGGGACTACAGTCACAGGTCACCATGCCTGGCTACTTTTTTGGGGTATTTTCTTTGTAGAGATAAAGTTTCACCATGTTGCCCAGGCTGCTCTCAAACTCCTGAGCTCAGGTAATTTGCCTGCCTTGGCCTCCCAAAGTGCTGGGATTATAGGCATGAGCCACTGCGCCCAGTGATGTTTTAGTTTGTTTTACAGATGGGGTCTTGCTCTGCGGCCCAGGCTGGAGTGCAGTGGCATGGTCAGTTCACTGCAGCTTCAACTTCCTGGGCTCAAGCCACCTGTCTGCCTCAGCCTCCGAAGTAGCTGGGACTATAGGCGCATGCCACCACACCCAACTAATTTTTAAAATCTTTGTAGAGATAGTCTCCCTAGGTCCTCTTATTTATTTACGTATTTATTTACTGAGACAGAGTCTCCCTCTTGTCCAGGCTGGAGTGCGATGGCACAATCTTAGCTCACTGCAACCTCTGCCTTCTGGGTTCAACCGATTCTCCTGCCTCAGCCTCCTGAGTAGTCTGGTCCTCTCTTATTATTAAGGGACTATCCTTTCCCCACTGTGTATTCTTGGCACCCTTGTCAAAGACTAATCATGAGGGTTTATTTCTGTGCTCTGTTCTGTTCCACTGGTCTGTGTGTCTGTTTGTATGCCAGTACCATACTGTTTTGCTTACTCTAACTTTGTAGTATACTCTGAAGTCAAGTAATGTGATGCCACCAGCTTTGTTCTTTTTCAAAATTACTCTGGCTCTGGGATCTTTTGTGGTTCCATATGAATTTTAGGATTGTTTTTTCAACTTCTGTGAAAAATGCCATTGGAATTTTGATAGGAATCACATTGAGGCTGTAGAGCACTTTGGGTAGTATGGACATTTAAAAAATATTAGTTGCCAGGCACAGTGGCTCACGCCTGTAATCCTAGCACTTTAGGAGGCTGAGGTGGGTGGATCACGAGGTCAGGAGATCGAGACCATCCTGGCTAACACAGTGAAGCCCCATCTCTACTAAAAATACAAAAAAATTGCCGGGCGTGGTGGCGGGCGCCTGTAGTCCCAGCTACTTGGGAGGCTGAGG